TTGCAAACTGCAGAAGGTTTTCCCTCAAGGGTTTCTGTGTATTTTGCCATCTACCCAATCTACCTTCACAATCCGTCTGGGGATGCATTCCCACAGCATGATGCTGCCACCACCATACCAAACATAAAAACTAACTCTGACAAGCAATGGGCCAAAAGCTAAATTTTGGTCTCTTTAGACTATAGAAACTTCTTGCAACTTCAAAGTCTCCAACTTGCCTTCTGTCAAACTGTTTTTGCCATTATAAAAATTTGCCATGACAAATATATATTACCTGTAATGATGGGTACACCATTACTGGCTGCTACTTCATTTAGTGAAACTCACTTTCATTCAGCCTGGACATGACTGTAACCACCAAACTGCTATTGCAGAATCTTACAATCCCAGCTCTACTACACTGATCATAGTGGATACTGACTGTATCATGATTTTCATCTGCACCTTCTCCATTCGCAGAATAAACTGTGTGTTCTCTTCAATTCTGGATGTAAAAAAACAGATTACTGGAAAAGTCCCCTCAGGCATTAAAATGAGTTTCTTCCCTCTGGAGTACATTTGTCTCTTAGTTGTTTCATTTATTTCTATTAATAATTCAAATTCTCATATAAAGATTTTGTTACAAAATTTTTCTGACTGCTTTATTTCTTAGATGTTTGCATGAATGTAATTTTTTTTTTTTTGTTCTTGCTTCAAAGTTTCTAATTTATGTTTGGACATTATATTTTGTATGTACTGACCAACTTAAAAGGTTATAGGTTTTAGCACTTTATAGTATGTATTACTGTTTGAAACAGTAACAGCTGCTCATAGCAATGTGTGTGGTCTTTTCCATCTACATAGGGCCCAACATGGATGTGAACCACTGGGCACCTTTATGAAATCGGGGCTTGGTGGTTGCTAGGCACCACTTTCCTTTTTTTGAGTATGCAGTACTGTTCTCTTTCTAACATTCGAACACCCTCCTCCTTCATCCAGCCTTATGTAGTTGGCCAGAGCGGGCCCCTGTCTGATGAGGGAAGAAGGGGTGTGAGTGTACTGCCTATGGTCATATGGCAGGCTGGATGGGCATATGTTGCGTTTCAGCCCAGTGTGCATGCATTTCATATCCACTCCACATGTGACATTATATGCCAAACAAATAGCGGGCAGTGTGACTCAATTGGAATGGGATAAATAGGGAGAGCAGCAGTGTTGCAAGGCTTTATTGGTGTTAGTTTACCCCTCTGCCTGAGGGACCTCTGCAACATCTGAATGGTCAGTCAGGTAGGTTACCTGGTAATTCAGCTTTGTAAAGCACACATATTAAACTATGAATATGTATTCTTGGTTATAGAACATGTAATTATTTTGATAGCTGACTATTGTGGAACCCTATAACATGTAGCACATTCTTGGATATAATTGCCAATTTGTTCAACTTGATTCTTAACAGGAATCAAAAGGTGTGAAAGGATCAAATGTGCACATGGATAACATTAAAAAGTATGTTCACAAATGCTAGAAGTCTGGGTAATAAAATAGAAGAACTAGAACTTCTGATACATGAGGAGGATTTTGACTTCATGGGAATATCAGAAACCTGGTTTGACAACTCGCATGTCTGGTTTGAGACTGTCCAGGAGTACTCACTGTATTTGAGGGGCAGGGTGGGTAGCAGAAGGTGAGGGGTGTGCTTCTATGTGAAGAGCAACTTCATAGTGAACATGAGATGTGACCTTGCTAATGGGGCTGGTTAGATTGCTATTCCTAACCTTTAAGGATAACTTACTGACTGGAATGGTACTAGCTGATTGAATAAAAGCAACATGATGCCAATATTCTAAAAAAGGGAGATATATACCTGGAAGTCCAGTCAGCCTAACATTAATAGTGTGTAAACTATTAGAAGGAATGATAAGGTAGAATTTACTGTTGAGAATCATATCATTATTAGTAACTAGTAACCAACGTGGATTTATGAAAGATAGTTCTTGCCAAACCAACCTTTTACCATTCAGTGAGAAAGTGAGAGGTAAATTGGGTAGAGAAAGGCCTGTGGAGACTAGATTTTGCTAAGGCATTTGATTTAGTACCCCACAAATGATTAATCTACAAATTGAGGTATTTTGTCATTGATGACATGATACTTAGATAAGAAATCCAGGCCTCTGTCCTGGGCCCATTTCTTTTTAATTTATTCAAAGATGATATAGAGGTTGGAATATATAGTTCAATCTCAGCATTTACTGATAATACAAAGCTAAACAGTGCAATAACTTCACTACACGATATAGCAACTTTACAAGAAGACCTTGATAAAATAGAGGGGTGGATAACTATTTGGCAGATAGAGCTCATTGTAGGAAAATGTAAAGTAATGCACTTGGGGGATAAAAATATGCATGCAAGTTACAGCCTGGGGGGAGAACCTCTGGAGTAGTCAAGGATGGGAAAGGATCTGGGCATCCTAGTCAATGACAGACTCAGCAAAACCATGCAATTCCAAGCTGCAGCAAGCAAAGCCAACAGACTATTAGCATGCATTAAAAATGGCATATCAACTTTTTAGTCTTCGGTCTTTAAGAAGACACTCAGTCATATAATGAAGTTAGATGAGAAATGTTTTAATCTTAAACTGTGTAAGGATGTGGAACTCCCTTCCACAGTTGGTGTTAGTAGATAGTGTAGATAAGTTCCAAAAAGGTTTATCCGTGTTTCTTAGCAAACATAATATACAGGGATATGGAAAACAGTAGAAACACACACACACACACACATTTTCAGGCTGAACTGTATGGACCGGTGTCTTTATTCAACCTTACCAACTATGTAACTATGTGAATTATGTGTGGACTTGGCAAGCATCATATTTGTATGGACTTGGGTTTTGTCAGTAATCTGTTTAATTAGGTTATGATACAGACATGTGGATGCTTACTATAACAGCTTAGTGGGTACATTTTTAAATTAAATAGGTGTTCCTTCAGAGAAATTGGGCATACGATATATACATAGTGGGACAAAAGTATTAATTACTGAACAGATCATGGCACTTTATTTGATTTTATTTGTTTAATTAAATTCATTTAATGTTTCTTTTACTTTACAGGTATTGAGAACAATATGGCCAAAAGTAGGAATACAGTATGGACAGGTAATGTTTAGTCTTAGGTGCAACCTACGTAGAGCCTTTCCTCGGCACTGTGACACTGTTTTATCTCTTAGGCTACATTCACCCTGCTGATTAAGGTTGGCGCGAATTATAGCCACAGGAATCTTTTGTTTACAGCTGTGGATGTGTTAGGGAGGTGTGTCTAGTAGGGAGCACCACAGATAATTGCTGGCTGTGTGGAGAGCAAGGAATAGTTGTGGCCACACTTAGCCATTCTCATCCACAGTTGGAAACAAAAGATTCCTGCCACTACAATCCCTACCAACCTTAATCACAGGTGTGAATGTAGCCTTAGATGCTTGAAATGTCCTCACATCAATGTTTGCAACATTCCCGGAACCTGTCTCTGACACTTTCACACATTCATACGCAAATAATACGCAAATTCATGTTTATGGCATGAAGTCTTTCAGTTCCTCCCCTGTGTGGGGTTTCCTCTCAAACACCTTACCCTAGGTTCACACCTCAGCGTTTTCTGCAGTGTTTTGCAGAAACACACTACAGTCCACTTAACATGATTTCCTGTGGGACATGTTCACAGCTCCGCATTTTCACCTGGTGCATTTTGGAAAGGGTCCAGGACTTTTTTTAATGCAAAAAATTGCATTTTTGGTTCTATAGACTGCTGCATTTTTTTTATGTGTTTTTGATGCGTTTTCATTTTAAATCTGCCTAGCAACAAGAAAAAAATTAAATAAAACCCTGCAAAACACATAAAAAATGCACCAAAAACATGTAAAAAATGCAGATGCAAAAAAAACACAAAACGCAATGCAGAAATGATCAAACGCAAACTGCATGAACTACTTGAACCTAGCCTTATTCTTTGCTACCCCAGAAAATGAAATCCATAGGTGTCAGGCTGGATGACTAGGTTGGCCAGTCAATGCTGCCACCCCACCCAGTCCAACACTATGGAAAAGTGTTATCCATACTGACAAAGCAAAATAAAGAGGGTCCTGTTATAATACATACATATCTATAATGTATACCTCCTTTTGGTCTACCCTGTAGTTTATCAGTTATGTTTAGACTGTAGGAGCTTGTTAGAGGACTGATGCTCAGGGTCCTTGTTATTCCCTAAGGTTACCTCTGAAAAATGATACAGACTCCAATTTCTTGTATGACTGGTTGTGTATTCTATTTTACACATGTAAGTTCAATTTAATATTAGTATTATTTGAAAGTGTACTAATGTTTATTACATGTTATTAATGTTGATTTTGATGTCATATACTAGATAATACAGTACCTCCAATATCTCCTGATGAAGAGGATTTATGTTCTGGGAAGCATATCAAGATTTGCTCTTATCCCACTATAGGAATGAACTTTAAGTTCAACCCCCCAAAATTTTTAAATATATTAATAGTAACAAGGTCCGGTCCGAGCATGTAGGCCCTTTACAAAATAATCTAGAGTGGGTGACTGGGGACAAAGAGAAGGAAAGTTTATTAACTGCAATAGTACAATGACAGGTGCAAGGCGGTTCTCTCGTTCTGGGAGGACGTCATATGACGTCCTCCATTCTAACCGCACATGCGCAGCTCCGGGCGCGTGCAGCGCGGCGATCTGTGGTGCGCGGTGTCCCTCGGACACAGCGGATCACCGATCAACGGAAAGAGCCGAAGATGTCGGCTCGGTCATGTGATCAGCTGTGTCCAATCACAGCTAATCGCATGTAAATAGGCAAATGCCGGTTATCGGCATTTCTCTCCTCACGAGCTGTCGTGTTGACAGCTCGAGAGGAGAGCAGGTAATCGGCATCCCTCAGTGGGGACATGTACACTGATCATCAGGTCACTGATGATCAGTGTGTCCTGATGATCTGTGTAGCCCCAGCAGTGCCACCTGGCAGTGTCCATCAGTGCCAGCTGTCAGTGCTCATCCATGCCACCTGCCAGTGCCCATCAGTGCCACATCAATGCCACATTTCAGTGCCTACCAGTGCACATCAATGCCACATATCAATGCCCATCTGAGCGGCCTTTCAGTGTCACCCATCAGTGCCAGTCAGTGCCACCTATCAATGCCAGTCAGTGCCACCTATCAGTGCTGCAAATCAGTGCCACATATCAGTGCCCATCTGAGCGGCCTTTCAGTGTCACCCATCAGTGCCAGTCAGTGCCACCTATCAATGCCAGTCAGTGCCACCTATCAGTGCTGAAAATCAGTGCCACCTATCAGTGCCAGTCAGTGCCGCCAATCAGTGGCAGTCAGTGCCGCCTATCAGTGTGCATCAGTGCCCCCTATCAGTGCCCGTCAGTGCTGCCTATCAGTGCTGCCTAACAGTGACAGTCAGTGCCAGCTAACAGTGCCAGTCAGTGCCGCCTATCAGTGCCACCTATCAATGCCACCCAACAGTGCCATATATGAGTGCTGCCTTTCAGTGCCCATCGGTGATGCCTGTCAATGCCCGTCAGTGCCACCTACCAGTGCCTCCTCATCAGTGCCCATCAGTGCTACCTATCAGTGTCCATCAGTACAGCCTATCAGTGCCCATCACTGCAGCCTCATTAACGCACATCAGTGAAGGAGAAAAATCATTTATTTACAAAAGTTTATAACAAAAACTAATAAAAAACTTTTTTTTTCAACATTTTCTGTGGTTTTTGGTTTGTTTAAGAAAAAATAAAAACCCAGAAGTGGTTAAATGCCACCAAAATAAAGCTCTATCTGTCACAAACAAATTATAAAAATTTCATATGGCTACAGTGTTGCATGACCGCGCAATTGTCACTTCAAAGTGCAACAGCGCTGAAAGCTGGAAATTGGCCTGGGCAGGAAGGGGGTATAAGTGCCCTGTAGGCTAGTGGTTAAATACTTTCTTCAGCTCTGTGTATACAAAGGAGCATGGGGGGAGCTCTTGTCCATAATGGGCATGGTATTGACACAGCTCCAGATGATCCACATTGGCTCACAACTGATATGATTCAGAAATATTTAGACAGTATAAAGGTGAATAAAGCACCTGAACCAGATGGCATACACCCACGAGTCCTTAAAGAATTGAGCTCTGTCATTTCAAAGCCATTGTTTCTAATTTTTAGGGACTCTTTAATGACTGGCATAGTACCACTGGATTGGTATAAGGCCAATGTGGTGCCAATATTTAAAAAGGGGTCAAAATCTTTACCAAGTAATTATAGACCTGTTAGTTTAACTTCCATAGTTGGGAAGATACTGGAGAGTTTAATAACAGACCACAAAAGATGAGTTCTTGCTGGAAAAAAATATTTTAAGCAACAGATAGCATGGATTCATGAAAGACAGAAGTTGTCAAACAAATCTGATTTCTTTTTATGAGGGGGTGAGCAAAACCTTGGACAGAGGGGTGGCGGTGGACGTGGTATACTTGGATTTTGCAAAAGCATTTGACACAGTTCCCCACACACAGCTAATGCGTAACATAAAGTCTACGGGCTTGGAAAAATCAGTATGTAAATGGATAAAAACTGGCTAAAAGATCATATTCAAAGATTAATGATTAATGATTCATACTGTGAATGGTCTAGGGTTGTCAATGGTGTACCCCAAGGTTCAGTGTTGGGACCCTTACTTTTTAATATATTTATAAACAATATCGGGTATGGGATTAAAAATACTGTTTCAGTCTTTGCAGATGAACCAAGCTGTGCAGTGGAATCCTTACAGGATGTCTTTAACTTACAAGCCGACCTCAGTGCACTGTTTAATTGGGCAACTATGTGGCAAATGAGGTTTACTGTTGATAAATGAAAGGTTATGCACTTGGGGACTAAGAATATGCATGCATCATACATACTAGGGGGAGTACAACTGGGGGAATCAATGGTGAAGAAGGATCTGGGGGTTCTGGTAGATCACAAGCTTAACAATGGCATGCAATACCAAGCTGCGGTTTGTAAAGCGAGCAAAATCCTTTCTTGTATTAAAAGAGGTGTAGATTCCAGAGAGAGTGAGATATCATTTTTACCCCTGTACAAATCATTAGTAAGACCTCATCTGGAATATGCAGTTCAGTTTTGGGCACCAATTCGCAAAAAGAACATTGGGGAACTTGAGAAAGTACAGAGAAGGGCAACCAAATTGATAAGAGGCATGGAGGAGATCAGCTATGAGGAAAGATAAGAGGAACTTAATTTATTCTCTCTTGAGAAGAGGAGATTAAGGGGGGATATGATCAACATGTATAAATACATCAGTGGTTCATATAGTGAACTCAGTGTAGAGCTATTCACCCTGAGGTCATCACAGAGGACAAGGGGGCACTCTTTACGTTTGGAGGAAAAGAAATTTAATCTCCAAACACGGAAAGGTTTCTTCACAGTGAGAGCTGTGAAAATGTGGAATAGACTCCCTCAAGAGTTGGTTCTGGCCAGCTCAGTGGATGGATTCAAAAAAGGCCTGGATTCTATCTTAGATACACAGACTATAATTGGATACTAACATTTATAGGTAAAGTTGATCCAGGGAATATCCAATTGCCTCTCGGGGGATCAGGAAGAAATTTTTTTCCCTGCAGGAGCAAATTGGATCATGCTTTGCTGGGTTTCTTGCCTTCCTCTGGATCAACTGTGGGTATAGGATTATAGCGGGTTTTTTTTTTTTTTTTTTTTTTTTTTTAATGGTTGAACTGGATGGACTCTTGTCTTTTTTCAGCCAGATTAACTATGTAACTATGTAACCATAAAAGTCCTGCAAATACCATTAACCACCACCACCCTTTTTTTCTTAGGAATGTGACTGGTTTGGTATGTGGTGCCCTGATTACATTGCCAGTCTATTTGTATGTATTTGAGAGTTTCTTCTTGGGTATAAACCTCTAGATTGATATTCCACATTTTAATATATCAGTGGAGGTTCATAAATCTTGTTTTCTTGTCATGACTATATTTATCAGCTTTGAACTTGATATGCATTGTGTGTGCCTTAAGCTATTCATGACAACATGGTGAGAAAATCTAATCACTGTATGTGTGTTTACTTTCATATGAGGCAGTTATATGTCTTGGTACAATCATTATTCTTTGGAATGACTATCAGCCAATGATGTTGTAGAGCAATATGCTGAAGCACAGCTTCTATCCTCTTTCTATCATTATTCCTAAGTTACTTTTCACTGGCCTGAATAATTAAGGGACCAAACACTGTAACTCTTATGATTACCTATAATGTACCAGAGTGTACGCAGGTTTTAAAATGTGCACATTTTTTAGAGTTCATCTATATCGAGGTAGGCAGAAAAATTTATATGAATCCATATTTATTCTTAATTACTTTATTTCACTCAGTGCAAAAAAATGGAAGGCTTTAAAGAGTTGGCACACCATTAACTGTCTCATAAATGTACCTGGTTTGCATTCCAATGCTGCCTTACATGTTGTCACCTGGGCCTGCCTTTTTAACAGAATTCTAACTTGCTAATCTACCGGTAATTGCCAACATATACTAGTGGCAGCCCATAATGTGTCTCACTCATTTATAAATCTGCTTTAAATGCACACAGATATATTACTCAGTCATTGCTAGTATGTGGTTCCTTAGTAGTTTAAAATAAGAGTAGCAAGAGAAAACAGAGGTCACTGACGGTCAGGTAACACTACTGGTGGTAAACAGAGCTTCTCAGGGGGGCAGGGAATGATGGAAATACATACTTATAAAATATGCCATGCTAAATGCATATCAAGCAATCCTGTTTATGCTACAAATCATATACTATGCTCATGCACATACTGAATATCATCTATTGCAATAATACACAACGACGTGTACCACATAAAGGACTTCAAACAACAAATTGTGTATCACATTAGTGTAAACATAAAAAACAAAATAACAGATCATCAAGGTGAATATAGAAAACCAAAAACGTAAAGCCAATATGTTGTAAACAAATGACAGTGTCTATAAATTGCATTTTCTAATATTGCTCTGCAAAATATGAAGTCATAAACATACCCTGGTGCCAAAACGATTGTGACTTCCACCTTCTCCAGTGGACATGCGCTCACCTTCTTTCTGAGACCTTTGTATCAAAAGGTCATGCAGAGCTTGTCCCCTTTAAAGCCAGGACAGGGCTAACTCCAAAGGCAATTTCAGCTCACTCGATGTAGAGAGGCAAGAAAACTGTCAACAGAGAATAGACAGGAGGATCACTTATACCATGTCCCAGTACATAATAGATTTTTCTCCGTTGGACAATCATGAGGACCTGCTCTCCTTTTTTGGAGGCATGATTAGCTTTATCAACAATGAGTGCTTTAGCTTCATATAGAGTAATACTGAGCATTTGGTATCTTCTGCTTGCATTGCCACTAACTTACATGTACGTACACATGCACACAAAAGTGAACACATTCAGTTTAAATACACATGCATTGGGTGCATTTAATATTAATATTATTATTATACAGGATTTATATAGCGCCAACAGTTTGCACAGCGCTTTACAAAATGAAGGCAGAGATTACAGTTACAATACAATTTGGTACAAGAGGAAACATAGGGCCCTGCTCGTTAGAGCTTACAATCTAGGAGGAAGGGTTGAGTGATACAAAAGGTAATAGCTGTGGGGGGGATGAACTGATGGAGGAAATAAATGGTGGTTTACTAGTTAGAAGCAGGATAGGCTTCTTTAAAGAGAAAGGTTTTCAGGGATCGTCTAAAGGTGGATAGATTAGGAAACAGCCAGACAGATTGGGGTAGGGAGTTCCATAGGATGGGAAAAGCACGGGAGAAGTGCTGGAGGTGAGCATGGGAGCAGGTGACATGGGAACTAGAGAGCATAAGGTCTTGGGAGGATCAGAGAGAGCGGTTTTGTTGATAATTTGAGACCAGGTTGGTGATGTAGCTGGGGGCAGAGTTGTGGATGGCTTTGTAAGTTGTTGTTAGTATTTGAATTGTAATCGTTGGGTGAGTGGAAGCAAGAGGAGGGATTGACAGAGAGGGGTAGCAGACACTGAACGGTTGGTAAGGTGGATGAGCCTGGCAGCAGTATTCATGATGGACTGGAGGGGGATAGCCTATGTAAAGGTAAACCAATGAGGAGGGAGTTGCAGTAGTCGAGGCGAGAGATAACCAGGGAGTGAATTAGGAGCTTTGTGGTATCATTGGTTAAAAAGGGGCATATTTACATTTGCCCTTTCCATTACAAGTAATACCACACACGGTACTGTGCCATATTTTAGGTGTCAATGTGCTTGTGTTAAAGTTGTTCACTAATTTACAAAGAGCTGTCAACATATGGCAAGTTAGCAAAAATCAGACCCACCTTTTTTTTTAACACAGCACAATATAATGTTTGAGATGTGTATTGTGTTGCACTGCACCTTTTCTAACATTTCAAAATGAATTGTACCGTAGTGGACTGCTGTGTGTTACTGTGCATTTTTTTTCATTTACTTTTTTTACAAAATTATGATTGTGCAACCTATGCAACTGGAAATGTAACTTATAAAATAAAGACAAAAATACTCCAAAAAAAGCTGCAATATGAATATATTGTGAAAAATAAAATTCAACAAACAGTACAGCAAATAATAGTGAATAAGTGAACACCACAAGCAAATAACTAAGCAAGAAATAA